TCTCTGAGCCTCAGTTTCTTCTTCAATAAAATGAAAATGATATTACCTATCTCAGAATATTCTTAAGAAATAATAGTATATGTTAAAATGTTTTATATACCATAAAATACATATATAAATATAAATATTAAGTATGGTCATTGATGGTATACAGGCGTTTATCTTTATCTCATAGAAAAGAATTTTTTATTATGCTTGAAATTTATGAATATTAAAAGACTAGGAAACAAATTGTGTTACTTTGATAATCCTTGGGAAATGTGGCACTGTGTCTATTGAACATGACCATCATCAAAGGGACCTTCTTTGACAAAATATCCATTGGTAAGCCTCTTCCACATGGGACTGGTTTGAATTTGGGGGTATTCTTGCTGTAACACTGATCACAGGGCTTGATTTGGCTGAATGGTCTCCATAGTTGGGTGTCCTTTTTCTCTTTCACTATATTATTCATATAACTCCCTCTGAAGGAGGCCATCAAAGAAGATCTCAGTTACCAGAGAACCATGCACTGATCAAGGTTATATGATTAGATGGAATTTGATAGTTATTCCTTTTGGTATGTTCTAAAATATAACTTCCACATCCAACTATCAACATAACCAATGTAGAAAGTGTCAATTTAAGAGTGTCCCATAAACCAACCTCAGTCCTCTGGGACTTTTTGGTAAAATACAATGATTGATTATAAAGTACTATAAAATTGTTATTTTATAGTACTTCATTTGTCACATACAGCTTAGAACTTCTTGCAGAGTACAAAACCAAGGCTGGAAGGAATAAGAGTAGGCTTTGTGGAAGTAAAGACAGATATGGCTCAGCCTGCATCTAGACAGGAGTCATTGTGCTAATTTATTTCCTTGGACGAGTTTGAACATGGAATGAGAAATGATAAGGCAGGGACAAAGCATTTTTCCTGCCCTTTTTACTAAATGAATGTGGAATGAATGCATTGAGGTGGGCACCACATTGCTTCTGTATTTCCTACCTCCCTGCCAGCCCTCAGCCCAGTCATACCTAGTCAGTCCACAGCTCTGCATTTTTAATGTGATATAAATTTAGGATGTTCATCATTTTGTTACAGTAGCAGAAGAACAGCATCTTTCAAAAGGAAAAACTTTCAACACTTATTGGTTTCGTGTAAAGACTATGAAATGCAAGGAAGAATAGATGCGGAAGAGCTGGCATGACTCTTGAAACAGTGCAAAACAGAGAAATGGTTTCAAAGTATTGGTCTAAGAACTAGTTCTAGACCATAATAGTTTTCAACAGTCTGCTGCAAAATGAAAGAGGAAGTAGAATATAGTGACTTTCTTATAAAGCATATTTTATTAATTTATAGGACTATACTTCTGAGATGATGTTTTTCCTATTTTGGGGTGATAAGAGAAAGGAGAGTTTTATGATATGATAGAAATAGTAGTTAGAAATTATATTTTTTTCTTAGAAAAATAACAAAATTGGCAGCCCTATTTTGGGCTCTCTGAAATGTTTTTTGAAATTTTACTTGACCATAAAATTAAGAATTATTGCCCAGTATATTGAATTGAAGAAAAAAGAAAAAAACTCCATTATATGGCCCTGTCATCAATCAGCTGTGTGACTTTGAGAAATCACTTAACCTCTCTGCATATGTTCTAGTACTTGCAGAATGGAAACTGTCACCAGATTCTATCCTGTAAGGTTGTTATGAAGTAAAATAAGGTCGTATATATTCAAGTGCTTAGAAACCAAAGAGGGTTCTGTAAAAGTCATCATTTTTATATGTTACCATCAGCAAAAGTGTTTAACTTTCAAAATTATTGGCAAAGATTTCAACAAAAATCTGTAATCTTTTCTATTTATTACCTTTATGACACTAATTGGCAAATATTATAAAAGAAAATTATATCAAGAATAAAATAGAGGCCGGGCGCGGTGGCTCACGCCTGTAATCCTAGCTCTCTGGGAGGCCGAGGCGGGCGGATTGCTCAGGGTCAGGAGTTCGAAACCAGCCTGAGCAAGAGCGAGACCCCGTCTCTACTATAAACAGAAATAAATTAATTGGCCAACTAATATATATAGAAAAAATTAGCCGGGCATGGTGGTGCATGCCTGTAGTCCCAGCTACTCGGGAGGCTGAGGCAGCAGAATCGCTTGAGCCCAGGAGTTTGAGGTTGCTGTGAGCTAGGCTGACGCCACGGCACTCACTCTAGCCTGGGTAACAAAGTGAGACTCTGTCTCAAAAATAAATAAATAAATAAATAAATAAAATAGAAAAGAATGCATATTATTTTGACTACTAGTATCTTCCCAAGAAAAAAGGAAATTCATATTCTAGAAATCTTAAGTAGTAATTTTTGGCATTTGACATTTTAAAGTTCTTTTATCAAATTGGCAGTTATTATGTATTCAAGAACAACTACTCAACACAGGGACACATGTCCAGAATGTGCGTGGTCTGAGAAAAAGCACATGATTATTTTTAAGTGTCATGTGTACTCTGTTATGCATAGAGTTTCATACCAATCAATATTCTTTCATGGAGCCTTTCCTATTTGAGAAAATTGATGAAGTTATGAGTTAATTGACCAAACACTATGCTGGTTGCACAAGCCATTGGCTTGATCCAGTTTGGTGTCTCTTTAAAGTTCTTGTCCTAGAATCTGTGAATAAAAAGCAGCTCTTTCTTTTTTCAGTTACTATTTATAGTCAGATGTGACTTTTAGCTATGGACATATCCATTTTGTTTGAGGTTAGAGACTTAATTCTCAAAACTCTGGGTCATCTACCCTTTATTTTGAAATTATGATTCTTTTTTTTTTTTTCTCTGAAGTAAATATCCCGGAGTTACAATGGAAAAACTAATGGAAGCTGTAATGATTAACAAAGAAATAGGCTGAAAGGGAAATTATACAAGGGAAGAAAGACAAGGCTCATCCTCTCCTTTTATGCAGGTGGTTTGAGACCCTCATGCCTGTCCCACCCTGTATTCTAGATGGGCCCAGTGCACCTCTGGAACTGTGAGGGAGTTTGTCTACACTCAGTAGTCTCACATCTTTGAATAGTGATCTGTACCATTAACTGAACTTGCTCCCACCCTCCCTGGGTAGCAAGCCTTATGAGTTGGCACCCCTCCTCTCAGTAGCCACCCAGGCCACCTACCTCTGACTTCCCATTTGGCTGTTCATCTTTCTATAGTAAGTACTAAATTTCTGCCAGCCTTCCTGCCCTGAAGAAGAGGTTCTCCATCCTTCACTCAGGGCCCTGCGTGGGCTAGTGACTGAACATATGTAGAAATGATACAGTGTTTATTGAACACTTAAAATGGGCCACACACTGTTCTCAGTACTCTATATTCATTATCTCTTTAATCCTCACCACAAACCTATGAAATAATTATTCTTTTCTCAACTCACAGATGAGAAAACAAGGTACAGAGATACTAAATAACTTGTCCACACTCACCTAGGAAATAGTATACTGAGACCATCTGATTCCATACTCTTAGCTAATAGTCTGCGCTAACATATGAATGGATTTCGCATATCTAGTTTTTCCAAAGTGATCTGTTGTAGTCCAAATATGTCATGTTCTCACATCTATTAATTTCCTTTTCA